GCGTGCATAGTATGTTAAGAAAGGTGTTGCAAATATGAACATATATGCACACATTTCCTTATATTTAATGAAAGAATACATCAGAAACTTTTTAAATGTTTAGCTCTGGGGGAGGGAGGAAATTGGGTTGAGGGTACAGGAATAGAAGTAGATTTCTCTGAAGTGCTTTGATTTGTAGACTTTACTTTGACAGCATGAAAAAAACTACCCAATTATAAAAAAATAAACAGTTAAGAAAAGGCAGTTCCTGAATTTTGAAGGTAAAATAAAACAAATGAACCTGTATATATTAGTTTCCTAGGACCACTGTAACAAATCACAACAAACTTGGTGGCTTAAAACAAGAGAAATTTATTCCCTCAGTTCTCAAGCCAGAAGTCCAGAATCAGTTTCAGCCGTAATCAGGGTGTCAGCAGCCCATGTTCCCTCCAGGGTTTCTAGGGGAAAATCCATTCCTTGCCTCTTCCAGCTCCTGGTGGCTGTAGGTATTGCGTCTCTTGTCACAGCATCACTCCCACCTCTGCCTTTATGGTCGCATTATCTTCTCTTCTGTTCAATCTTCCTCTGCCTTCCTCTTCTACTGCATTTGTGATTGCATTTGGAGTCATGCAGCTAACCCAGGGTATCTCCCCGTCTCATGACCTTTAATTACACCTGAAAAATCCGTTGCCATACAAAATAATATTCACAGGGTCCAGGAAGTAGGACCTGGATATATTTGGGGGCCGTTATTTAGTCTACCATACTGTGTACAAGGAGGTGTTGTAACATCCAGAGGGGAATTACTCCAAGTTACTTTAAAACATATTAATTTGACATATTTCTCTAGTAGGGTATAATCTAATTGTCTTGCCAATGGGTTTCAGCCCCTGGCAAGTTCGCTATGGATTCAATGTGACCAAAGAAATTGACAGCAAAACGTTCTTTGGGGTGAAAGAGTTTATTACCCAGCTTGTTCTCCTGGTGGTAGGTTGAGCACTAACATCTCTACTTCCGCGCAGAGCACTGGGCCTAGCGCTCTATATAGCGCAATAATAGCTTATTGCCTAAAGGTGTGGAGGCAGTAGCCTAGCAACAGGCCAGTTACATCAGCAGGTAGTTTAAGTTCAGTGAGGATCCTGGCCTTAGAAACCTCACTTCCCCACATCTAAGAACAGAAATAAATTTTAAAAAATCTTCAACTTCTCAAAAATATTGTTTGTAGTAGTGTTATGGTTGTTCTGGGACTTGTTTATGTATAGTTTGATAAAGCAAATTAGTACTTATCTTGGTATAATTGACAATTTGTGCCCTCAACATGAGAATGTAGAGATAAAGATGTAAGATTGATGATTTAAGTAAAAATCTTGTTGTTCTGAGTTGAGTGGGAAATAGTAGTTTGAACTCTAGTCCTATTTGGAAAAGGCCTAGAAACACCAGTACTCTTTAGTGATGAACTCTGCTAACCCCTACCTAGATTGTGGTCTGTAAATACCAGATCCCTCTAAAAGGAACCAGGGCTCTTTGAAAAAGTTGTTAAATCCAGTTCTGGGGCAGGAGGTGTACATGATGAACTGGATACATGTTATCATTTCAGAAAACAAATAAGTATCAAATCATTTATGTTAAAGGACTTAGGAATCAACCTAAAAAGCCTTCCACAGATCAAAGATTGTACAATTAGACCATCAATAAGAAACTAATTGCGAAGAAATTGAAATGCTGTCTTGCCAATGGCTTTCAGCTGAGATTCGCTTCAAAATAACAAGGAAGTAGTGAGGCGGGGGAAACGGGACTGGGCGGCTGTTGAAGCAGGTAAACGAAGGTCCACTGGAGACCAACGAGAAGCCCTCTTGAAGGGAGACGGTAGCTGCTATCACGGGGGCCAACGCTGAAGTTATGGAAACTGCGTCACCAGGCCTGTCAGTGCCTGAAAGCTCAGCTCCCCAGAGCAGCTCAGCTGGAATAGGACGGGAGCGCAGCTCAGGCGGCGCGCGAGGCCTTCAGCAGGTGCGCTTGGGCACGTAGGGGCGGAGCCACGAAGGCGGGAGGTGCGCCTGTGCCGCGGGGTTGCAGCCCATACTTCCCGGGAGGGCCGGCGCGCTTGGTTCCGCCCAGTGTTCCAGAATCCCCTTCAAGCCGGAAGCTTCAGTCTGGTGCTACCTTTGGGCTGCCGGGCTGCGTCTTCTGTGGGCTCCGGGACGATCCTTCAGGGACTGGCTGCTCTTGCACCAAGGCCGTTTTGAACAGGCTTTAGGTTCGAACTGTCCCTGTAGGAGATGAGCTGGGTCCGGTCACTTCCCGCTCAGCCGGACGGCGGGGTCGTCCCCGGTGGCGGGCGAGGTGGGGCGATTGCCCCGCCACGTGGGCCGACTTACAGGCTCTTGGAGGCGGGAGGAAGTTGGGAGTCGATGAGGAGTGGAGGTTACAAAGCGTTTCATACTTAAAGTGAAATAAGGACTCCCTAAAAGCTACCCTCCCTCGTCCTCGTTTAATTGAGTGAGCGACTGACGTTAGGGAGAGGAAAGGGATGCCCGAGTTACACAGCAGGTTAGGAACAAAACGCTAACTTGAACGACGTTTCCTTTCGCAAGACTAGAAAACGAGTACACACATCGGCGACTCCACACAGGGAAGGCCGCTCCTGAACCCTTTCAGATAACCCTCTCCAAGACCACCTTACTACACCCACCCGACTCTGATTTAAGACGTAGGATTATAGGTGCACAGGCGTGGAGTGGTCGGCAGAGGGCGCCGTTGCCCCAGCGTTCTCTCGGCAGCATTGACAGTGCTTCCTGAGCAGCTTTCTCTTCTTAACCATGCCTTTACGCGCACTGCGCCTATACCCCTTTACGTCTATGCTTCAGCGCTCTCCTGACCATTTTCTCACTCCCCTCCCCCTATATATATATATATATATATCCTATAAATGTTCCTTTTATTAGTCTGCCTGGTGTTTGGCTTAGTCCATAGACTTGAACCCCAGGCCTATTGTGTAGATGCAGAATCGGCTGACTTGTTCTATAGTAAATATTGTCAGATAGTAAATATTTTAGGGAGTGTGGTCTCTGGTCTTTTTATGGTTCACAACTTTGCCTTTGTAGCTTGAAAAGAGCAATAGATAATACTTAAAGGAATGAGTATGGCTGTGTTCCAATAAAACTGTTGACCCTGAAACTTGAATTTCATGTGTCAGGAAATAATCTTTTTATTTTTTTCAATCATTTAGATGTAATATATATACTGTTGTAAAATATGCTCAGAATGAGTATAATACCTCAGGTGTAGTATTAAATTAGTGCACAGTGGAGTGAGAGCATTACTTTGCAACTTCTGGGTATAGATCTGATTTGTGACCTAACAATTTTCTCAGGAAGAGATCTCTGCCTTGTAGGCTTGAAAACAGGCGACTCATTTTGCTTCCTATCTTCTCTGTAAGCTGCATTGGCTGTCAAATTCTCAGTTGGAGATTTCTGGTCTAATACACTAGAAAGGACACTACTGGGCGAGGCAGTGTGTCATAAGCCCTGAGCATCCATACATGTTTGTGCTGGGTATGCCAAGAATACAAGGTCTTAACTGTTCTTTACCCTGGGCCCTTTCTCAGGGTTGTGTTTACAGCAAGCAAATATATAAGGCAATGTCTCTAGGGCAAAAAGCATGCTTGCTTACTGTTAACCATAAAAATAATTTCCTCCAAGCTCAGTGTTGTTTTTCTCTAATGCTCCTGCTGGAATCCATCTAGGCCCACCTATGTCACCCACTTGGAACTTGGGGTCTTGGGGGTACAAGAGTAATTGATTCAGATGTGAAGTCTGGCTACTGTTTTTGCCATGAGAAAATTTTTTTTATCTATGCCACAGGAATATCGTCTTTGGCCAGCATCTGTGAAATAACAGGAAGCTAGTTTTATTATTTTGTTAAGTTGGGTAAAATCCAGACCTTTCACAGTTCTTGGACAGACATGTAAAATAATTTTTATTTTCTAAGAATACAATCTTGATTAGTGTGCAAAAATTCTGGCAGAGTTGCATTAATCAAACATTTATTGAGGGCCTACTTACTCAGTATGTTGCATATTGCTATGTGCCTGGTGCTGTCCTTGGTATAAAAGATACAAAAATTACTTAGTCTCTCCTTTGTAGGAACACATTCTTCAGTAGGAAAGGCAGTCACCCTTGAGTCCTATCTGTCTCACTCCCAGTCCAGTTAATTAGCAAATCCTATAAACTCTACCTTCAAAACATCCAGTGTTGGGTAACTTCTGCAGCCACCACTAGTCCTCTGAATTACTGTAATGGCTTTCTAACTGGTTTCCCAGAATATGCCCTTGCTCCACTTTAGAACATTAGAGTCACTAGGGGAGTTGAAGTGCAGGCACACCTCGTTTTATTGTGCTTTGCAGATAGTGTTTTTTTACAAATCAAAGATTTGTGGCAACCCTGCATCAAGCAAATCTATTGGCTCCATTTTTCAACAGCATTTGCTCATATCATGTCTCTGTCACATTTTAGTAATTCTCCCAATATTTCAAACTTCTCATTATTACTCAATTTGTTATGGTGATCTGTGATCAGTGATTACGATTTGCTGAAAGCTCAGATGATGGTTAGCATTTTTTAGCGATAAAGTATTATTAGAGTGTGTAGTTGTTATTGCACACTTAATAGCCTACAGTATATTGTAAACATAACTATATGCAATGGGAAACCAGAAAATTCATTCGACTCACTTTACTGCAGTGTTCTGGAATTAAGTTTGCAATATCAGTATATAGGTATGCCTATACTGATACCCACACCACATCCCAAATGAAATAAATTAGTATTTCTGGCATGGCAATTTTAAAAGCTCCCAGGTCATTCTTACGTGTAGCTAAGAATGAGAGCCATGCAGTATAGCACAGAGAAGACAAAAGTAGTGACTCTATAGCATCTTACTGTGCTGATGGGACAGTAACTGTAATGGGGTATGTGGTGGGGACTTGATGATGGGGGGAATCTAGTAACCACAGTGTTGCTCATGTGATTGTATATTAATGATAGAAAAACAAAAAAAGAATGAGAGCCATGGCTATTGACCATGAGAAGATACTGAAGGATTTTAAGCCAACGGTGACAGGGCCACATGCACCACTCAACCTGCACAGCTGCAGGTGCTGGAACCAGTTAGATGTTTTCAGGTGACTTAGGCAAAAGGGTGGGAGATATATAGAAAGTGGTGAGATTAGGGTCAGGGTGAACACTTATTGGGCTATGAAATAATATAAACGAGCTGACAGCCTGATATGATGTAGTGGCAGTGGGCAGTGGCAGAGAAGAGAGAATCAACTGTAACACAGGGGAGGTAAAAAACCGATAGGACTAAACTGCTGACGAAGAAGAGAGTGGCTTCTGGCCTCCCTAAGTTATGGTGAATTAAAGAGGAGGTTTGGGGGTAAAAATTCCATTTTAGATGAAGCCACTTATGGTATTTGTGAATAGTTCCAGGTGATCATTGACTGTGTGATTCTGAAAGTTGGGAAAGATATAGGGGTACACAAGAGTTGAAGGGGGGAGTGCATTCTCTGTTGGGCTATTCAAGTTTAAAGATTTGGACTTAAACTATATAGGAGGGGAATCAAAAACAAACTTTCAATGCTCTAGTCTCATCAAAATATATCATTTTATAAAATTGTAGGTACATACTGTTTGTGCTCTGAACTTTCATTAACATTTTATAGGAAGAACTCAGTGCTGAAGTCATGGGTTCCCATCCTTATTCTATCAGTGTGACTGTGTGACCTCAGGCAAAACAGTACAGCACCATGGCCATCACTTCAGCCATCTATACAGATGACTGTATTGCTTGTGAACTTACACATTTATACACATAAGTATGGTACACATGCAAATGGCTATACTGTCCTAAGGAGATTAATGACTGTAGTGAAATAGAGATCCATGAGGAGAGTAACAGAAATAGAGGACTAAGTACGTTTACAGGCACATGCAAATGAATTGATACCAGAAGATACAGATGAGGGATGGCTCATTCCAAATCTGGGGCATGGAAGGTACATGGTGAACCTGAGATATCTTGTGTCAGAAGGCAATTAGGTGCCTAAAGACTAGAGAAAGGATGTCAAAGGACACAAGAGCTACTTGAAGGGCTCCAGCTGGCCAAATTGGGGACAATCTGAGCATTAGAAACAGTGGTCATAATTGACTGTAATGGCCAATTAAAAATTGAATTATTTGTCATCATTGCCAACTCCTTACTCTGAACAAAGGAAAAGAATTTAAGCACACCCTGCCTCTGTTGCATTCCCAGTTAATGCAGGAAAGCTCTCCTTACAGAAGAAGGCGAGTCAATAAATGACAGAATTAGAGAATTGCCATTTTGCAAACCTTGATGAAATAATTGATTCAGGCAAAGATCGTCTTTGGGTACTAAAACCACCAGGTGAAAGGTTGTTGGTAAACAGGCTGTCCCAATGCAGCCAGTGTCAGTTCACAGATTTGTTGACTGCAACAGGAAAGATGTATCTTCACATTGGGAAGACACAGTGGTTACCACCTCACTCAAGCAATCAAATTTGGCATCACTGAAAGTCAACCAGATATTAATCAGTCTTTCGATGTGATGCACCATGAAATAATTTAAAAGTGTTTAACCTGAATCTAATCAAGTCTTTGATCCTAAATGCTAATTTACAAAAACTACAGGGGATACAGGAGTGAGATAAACCACATGTAAACAATGTTAATCAGAATGTGAGACATTCTACAACTGATCTGATGTATTTTAAAAATCATGGAAAAAATCAAAGGTGGGATACTGCTCTAGATAGATTAAATAGTATAACAATAACATAGTAATGGTGCAACTTGACTGGATCAACAGAGAAAATTTAAACATGGGCTAAGCATTAGGTATAAGAGATTTCCTGTTCATTTTTTGAGGTATGTAGTGGTACTGTGGTATAAAAGACTCATTTTATGAGATGCATGCTTAGTATTTAAGGGTGAGGTGTTATATCTGTAAATTACTTTCCAAGTGTTCAGTAAAATATATGGCAGAATGTTAACTTTTAAAGCGAAGTGGTGGATATACAGTTCATTTTATTATTTTTAACCTTTCTGTATATTTAACAGTTTTGTAATAAAAAGTTGTGGAAATAGGACTATCTGCTAAAAATCTTGAATGACACGTGGGTCAAACAACTGTAAAGGGAAAAATACACAAAAATCTAGGATTCTCCATGATTATTATAAGGGCATTAATTGCTTCAGTCTATCAGCGAAGTCTTTATAAATGCATTATTTACAGAAAACACATAAAGGCAGGAAATACAAATTAATGCAAAGAAAGGTGCTATGGAATGGACTGCAATACTCCACACATTCATTCCAGGAGAAAAAAGTGTAAAGTTTGAAGTGGCATTATAAAAATTGCATCTTGGTTATTTTCTAACATGACAACTACGGCATAAACATAATTTGAGTATTACTGCAACCTGGAGACAGTCTGCACTTTGTGAAGGATAATTCCATGACAGCAAGATTAACCAATGTGAAGACAAGGGGAAGCAGTAACTTCTTAAAAACACTCAACAGGAAAGCCTTGAAGATGCTAGCACCCTAGGTCTTTCCTTTGGCACCTGTTTATAGGATGTTTATATAAACAGTAATGTCCAAATGAAGCTGTGTGGTCAAAACATGCTTAAACTAGTATTTATGGATCCAGAATTTATATCAATTTTTCCTCAGCTCAGGAAAACTTCCTATACAAAGTTATCCTCTGATATCCTTAGGACTATCCCCATTGTTAATATTTGGGGATTCTAAATCTTCATATTTAGGTGGTTCCTATCATCCAGTAGATGACCAAAATTTGATAAATATTTCTTTGCATGGATGCACAAAAAATATTTTAAATTCTATCAATTTCACTCCATATCAGTTAATTCTACCTTATTACCCAACTCTGAATTTTTACTTATTTACTCATTAATTCAACCAACATATACTGAAGAAACAAAAGCAAGACAGAATCTCAGCTCTCAGAATATGGTCTTATATTCTGATAGTGGAATGCTACACACGTTACAATAGCGTTTCTACCTATTTCTGTTTGTATTTCTGCCATTTTCCTTTTATGTTTAACATCACAAGCTCAGTTATTTTTTAATGATTATTGTATCAATGACAGTTTTTGCATCTGATTTTTTTCCAATGAATTTTTTTCCTGATACTGTAAGAATAATCCCTATTTTACTTATATGTATAAAGGAGTACCAACTCCAATTATTCCTTTAAAATCAGTCACTTTGAGTTTCTTATGAACAGGCAGAATTTTGTTTTATTCAGTTAGTTACTCTTATTTTCTTAGGTAAACAAGTCCAGTAACATTTCATGTTATAAGTTATCTGTTTTCTCTATCCTCACTGTTAAGTCCTCACCTTGACTTTTTTCCAACCTAATTTCTGCAGTGAACTCAAATCTACCTTTTACACTATTTAAAAAGCTGCTTTCAGTACTTCCCTGTCATGGGATATGGGGTACCATTTGGCAACCATTTTAGTGAGTTTCTTATGCTCATTTCATGACACAGTAGTTAAGATTTCATGTCCTTTGTTATGGTTCACTACAGAGAGCTTTGTTGCTTAAATCAGCTGTGATTTCCAGCACTAAGAAGCTCTGAAAGAATCCAATTAGGAATGTCAGACACTGAGCACAGTAGGCACTCAAGAAACATGTTTCAGTGGAAGAGGTGGACTTTCTACAGTAAAACAGTCACAGGGGAAGCTTAAGTTATGAATTTAGGAGTCAGGAAAAAAATGGAATTTTGTATTTTCTTTCAGGATGACAGGTGTCAAAACTGAAACTAAGGCTATTTTAAAGATTAAGGTTGGGTGTTTAATTTTTAACCTGTTTAAATTTGTTCATGTCTAAGGATTATATATACATTAATTTATTGGAACAATCTTTCACTAACCTCTTCCTTTAATAGTATTTCAGTATTTAAAGAAAGTGTAAACAGTGGTCACATAGAAATCCTTCAACCACTACTTCCAACTTTTTTTTTTTTGCAAACCTACTGGCTCCATGTGACTGTTTCGGCATATTAGGAAAAGGGAAGGGCATCCTTTATGTATTTAAGGCTTCAATGCTGGGAAGAAATAAAGACCTGAAAGCAGCTTTTTCTTTTCAATTATCCCAGGATTCTCTCTAATGTGAAATCTCTACTTGATGGAAACTTTACCAAGTTTACATTCATAAGGCCTCATTAAGAACTGCTTGAAATACAAAAGAAGTTGATGAGTTACAGGTTTTTGAGTGCTCCTTTATAGGGTTTCTTCTGGAATGAACTAAACTGGTATCAAATAAGGGTTAAGAAATGAAGTTTTCTTAAATTTCACATTAAATTTAAATAGGTAATATCCACATTACTAATTGCAATACTTGTGCTGAGCAGTGTCTAAAGTACATTGCACTTCTTTTGAATGATGTTTTAACGCAGGGAGTACAAAATAAAGTTAAATGAGTAAGTTGTAAAACCTAAATGAAGTCTCCCATATCCATCATTTATGATGCTTGGCCCCTGTATGAACACGCTGATGTTGAATAAGGTTTGTACTCTGGGTGAAGCTTTTACCACATATATGACATGCATAGGGCTTCTCTCCTGTGTGAATCCTCTGGTGTTGAATAAGGCATGTTCTCTGGCTAAAATCTTTATCACATTCATTACATTTATATGGTCTCTCTCCAGTATGAGTTCTCTGATGTTGATTAAGTGATGAGGAATAAATAAAAGCTTTCCCACATTCATTACATTTATAGGGTTTCTCTCCAGTATGAATCCTTTGATGCTGAGTAAGATTTGCACCCTGTCTATATGCTTTCCCACATATATTGCATTTAAAAGGTTTTTCTCCATTATGAATCCTTTGATGTTGAGTAAGGTGTACACTCTGGCTGAATGCTTTTCCACACACACTGCATTTATATGGTTTCTCGCCAGTATGTGTTCTATGATGTTGCGTAAGGTTTGCACTCTGGCTGAAGGCTTTCCCACATATGTTACATATATAGGATTTCTCTCCAGTGTGAGTAGTCTGATGTTGAATAAGAGTTGAGGAATGAGCAAAGGCTTTTCCACATTCATTACATTTATAACACTTCTCTCCAGAATGAATTCTCTGATGTCGAATAAGGTAAGTACTCTGACTAAAAACTTTCCAACACTCGTTGCATTTATATGGTTTCTTTCCGGTATGTATTTTTTGATGTTGAAGAAGGTGTGTACTCTGACTGAAAGTTTTCCCACATTCATTGCATATGTAAGGTTTTTCTCCAGTATGAACTCTCTGATGATTAATCAGTGAGGAACTGTGGCTGAAGGTTTTCCCGCATTCCAAGCACTTATAGGGTTTCTCCCCAGTATGAGTCCTTTGATGTATAGTAAGGTGTGCACGCTGACTGAAGTCTTTTCCACAGTCATCACATTTATAGGGCTTCTCTCCGGTATGAATTCTCTGATGTATAGTAAGGTGTGCACGCTGGCTGAAGGCTTTACCACACTGGTGGCATTCATATGGTTTTTCTCCTGTATGCATTCTCTGATGTGCAATAAGGGATGAGATATGCCTAAATTCTTTTCCACACTCTTCACATTCATATAATTTCTCTTTGGCATGGCTACTTTGGTGTTTCAAGAGGGATGGGTATTTCCTAAACTTTTTCTCACACACATTACATTTGTAAGGCTTCTCTCCAGGAAGTATTTTTCTATGTACAATACCATATGAAACATGGCTGAAGGTTGCTCTGCCTTCGTTATAAGTATTTTTATTATCTGATTGGGCACCAAACTGTATAATTAGATTTGAATGCTTTTTGAAATCATTTCTGTATATATTATATTCACTATGACACACTTCTGTAGGATCATCTTCCTGTGAAAGGACTGACTTCAGCCTGAAATTTCTTTCATTATGGGGAATCTTCCAAAAGGTAGCTGTAGCTTGCTTCTCTAATCTGTCATCATAGTCATATGGTTCTTCCAATTTGATGGTCTCAGTTCCATCCTTTGTGGGTTTAGAAATATGCCTAACTGGAGTACACTCTTGGGCTTCTGTTTCCCGTTCTGAAATGAAAGAATATATAAAGTTTTCCTCCATTTGGAGAAAGAAAACTGCCCAAACAGAAACAAAATAGCAAACATGAATAAATGCTTAACCCATGTTTCTGGTGTCTTCCTAACATGACCCTTATAGCTTTGGAAAAGAATGAAATGGCATAAAAATACACTGAACTGTTGAAAAAGGAGAGGCCCCTCACTCTTCATCATAGGCACAGAAAATAAAATTGGTTAGGTCAGGTGACAGAGCTAAGTGAGCTGAAAATACTGGAAGACAATGTGGGTTAACCTGGGATGGCTTCATGGCGTTAGATAGTGGCTCATAAAGTATGCATGCTAACTCCCATGACTCCTTTTTCCAGTATACTCTGCATAACCCTAAATATTATGAAAACATTTCATTAAATGCTCTCCATGCTTAAATATCTCTAGTAAATCTCACATAACCCAAAGCAATAGTTCTCAAAGTACAAGTCCCCAAACTAGTGGCATAGGCAGGACTGTCACCTAAGAATGTGTTAAATTATTAGGATCCACCTAGATGTGCTGAATCAGGAACTTAGGGGTGGGGTCGAGCAATCTTTCAGCCCCCACAGGTGGTTCTGATGCACACTAAAGTTTGACCATCAGTGGCTTAAAGGAGAAAAATTAAAGAAATAAAAGTTCAAAATAACTCTGGCATTCAGTCCCAGAATAATGTAGCTTTTCCTATTCTATATATTTTATCAAACTTCACATTCAGGCTAAAGTTTAAAGTTTGTTATTCACATAACAAAACTACTTCTTCAATCTTCTATGGGTACCATGCTGATTTTGGATTCTAGGCATTCTTTTAAGATAACTTCTGCACTTACTAAAAAGAGTTGTCTGTGGTCCAGCTCACATTTCTTTCTCCTTAGAGTTCTAAAGTCAGAATAGGTTGAATCATATGAAATTGCCTTTTATGTAGGTCAGCATGGCTGAATATCAGTTTCATATGGTTCAACCTAGTATAATGTTGAGGCCATGACAAAACTTGGCCTTATATTGTTTCACGTTTTTGTGCATTTATCATATTTCCAACTTAGATCAAACCCCAGAAAACAGCTTACACTTCTTTTACATTTCCTTCGGAAAATGGCTTAAGACTGGATGCAGTGGCTGCTCAAATGAATTAGTAAAATAAATGGAAATAACTTGTTTTTAAAAGGTGAACCTAAATGAAAGCATACATATACACACAAAAACAAAACAAGCATAACAAAAAAAGTTCTGACCTCAAAACAGGCTGCAAAGGAAATACGTATTTTTTGATGCCTATTATGTATGTTTCCAGCATGATGGTTTAAAACAAACTTAAGCTACATATCTTTCTCTGAAATCAGGTGGTAAAAATATAACCTGCAAGTATTAAAAATTATATAATGAAATTAATCAAATATCAGCTTATCATATTTGATAATATATCAAAAATTATATTGGATAGTTCATAAATTTTTTAAGATGCAAATCAAAGTGGTTATAACTTTATAAATATATCCGTTCAGTAGAATCATGTAGTCATTAAAAATGACAGCTCTATCCATCAATAAAGGAGTCAACATCAGAGGTTAATGGAATATTAATACCTAATAAGAAAAGGTAGGTCTATGTACATTGATATGAAAAGGTGTGCAGGACACATTAAGTGGAAAAAGATACTTGTAAAGGAAGATCCTATCTATGTAAGGATATGCTGTATGTATTGGAGACAGACAGACACACAAATACATCATAATCTAAGGGGATAAGATCCTGATAATGGGTGAGAGGAGGGAGACACACATTTCATTTTGCTTCCCTGTACTGCCTGAATTTACAAACTACTTTTATTACTTTGATTGAAAAAAAAAGTTGATGTTAGTTAATGCTTAGGAGTAATGTTAGATAAAAAAAGCTGTACAACTAGCATGAAAACTCATTAGAATGACAAATATTATGAAAACATGAGATTTTAGGCTTTTAAAAAATTTCTAATTTTCAGTAAATTTGCTATAATTTTTTGTGATTTAGTACTAGAAATGTAGTTACATTAACTTTTATAAAAGAAATATTTTAAATCAACTTTCTCAAACCAGGGTTTGTTATTCTCCCCTCCAAAATAATTAGATTAATAGATTATATAGGTAAGTGTATAGATACACAAAAAGATGAGATAGTGGTAAAAGCTGAGTTTAATTCTGATTCTATGTATAGAGTCAGTCTGTGGCAGACATATACCTGAAAAGGAAATAGTAAAGTTGCATTTAACAAGCCTAAAGTAACAAGACTGAATGATGACCATGAGGTACAATAAACACATTTTTAAACCAGTTGGTTTATTGGGATTCAGAAACTGAGATCATTAAGCAGGGCATAAATATGTGTATATAACTAACCAGAAAGGATTGGTGAGAAGTAGTTTGAGTGTGTTAGTCAGAAGGACTAAAAAGTCGTATAATATTTCTAATCGATGAGATCAGTGTTGACTCAGGTAATCAAAGAAAGCTTCAGGAGGAGGTGTGATGTGAGTTGAACGTCAAAGAACAGTAGGTCCTGTATAAAATATAAGACATCAAAGTTCTGGGACACGAATGGTCACCAAAGACCATACTACTACTATGAGTTATCAGAGTTTCCATTTCCTGAAGTTATTATTACCAAAGGTTCAACTTATATATATATCTCTGAGCTGCTAAGAAAGAAATCCTCAGGAGTCTAAAAATCAAGTAAAAGCAGGAAGACAGGAAGTCAGCAAGAGTGAACTTGGATAGCTCCTAGATCTGGTTGGTGACCTTATGCTTCCACTTTGAGGGGACATGGGGTCCGGGGGCCAGAAGACAAAACCTGGAGCCCTCAGGAATTATGAGAATAATTAGCTTTTTAAGTAATACAATTATTACAATACCTAATGACCAGATAAAAACTTTTCAAATAAAGTGAAGCAAGTCACTCTAAAGTGGCATACTATATTGTCATTACTCTTTACATGGTTAGTGCTGTATTTCAGCATCAATTTTGGTAGATATATAAGAAGTCAGTGCCTTGAAAAGGCAACAGGAAAGCAAGATGCCAAAGAGCAGTGTGCTACTTTTGTATATGAAAGGAGATAGAGGAATATATTTATGATCTATTTTTGCAACGAGAAATATAAGAAGGATAACCAGAAATGAATGAATATGATTACCTATAGGGAATGGATGGGAACAGGGCAGAAGGGTTGGGAATATATACCTTTCTCATAGCTTTGACTTCTGAACCATGTCAGTGTTTTTGCATACTAAAAAATGTAAAATTAAGTTCAAGAGAAAAAACCAAAACAATAAAATTGAATACAAACAGAATCAAACTTAACTGTATCAAACAGGATAACCAGAAGGAAAGAACTTTTAACCTAGAACTCTGTATACCCTTAGGGATATATTCTTAGCCAAGGACTTAAAGAAAATTTGAATTTTACCTAGACAGTTTGTTATGGGTCATGATACTGATATAATACTGAAATAATTTTTTTCTGTATTACATGACAGAACAAATGAGTAAATATACTGATGTTCTTGGGAACCAGGTCACTCATTATAAGGGAAAGGAACTATAAATGGGATGATGCCCTTGTGGTGTTGGGATTTGAATTAGAGTTACCATTGTGAACTTATGATTAATAAACTTCATACATACATACATACATACTTTCCAGCTCTGTCCATTGAACACATTAGAAGCAATGGTACCTACCATAATGAGCACACTTACTGTTCTATTAGATTTCCTATTAAAATGAGCCAGGGTTTCTAGGAAAAATTCCAGGTCTAAAGGAGGCACAAAGGTGAGCCTAAAGAACATCTTATGCCAGAAAGACAGGAAATGCTCAGAGACTACTGGGGATATGTCTGAAGGATGCTAGACTTGGTCTGAAGGGCTCCTATTGTCCAAATTTGAGACAATTGAGCATTAAAAACAAAAAGTTGGGATTAATGGACTAATAACATTGAATTAAAAAAATCCCATTAGTCCAGTGACATGTACACATAAAAATGGGGGTGGGAGGAGGAAGAGCTCTTCTTTACAGGAGAAAGCTATGGATCCTTTAGAAGAGATGACTGAATTAGACAATCAACATTTTGCAACCAGCAACATAATAAAGGTTATCAGGGAATAGAGTAGGCATGTGGCCTTTAAGTATCATTCCACAGATCACCTACTAATTTAAAAAAAATTCACATTTAAAAAGGAGAGCCTGGTAGACAACACTTGCACTTAAATGAGCATCACCAGTCATGAGATTATCTGTAGAGGAAATCATACATCTATGAGGTTTATTCACAGAAGTATTTAATCTGGGGAAAAGAGATGGCAGAGTAGGAAGGCAAGGCTGAAACCTCCCACAAACACACCAAGAAAGCAACTACAGCAAATACGACTAAACCTGAAAATGACCTGAAGACTGCAGGACAGACCACCTACACCTGGGGAAGAGAAGACCACACAGAAAAGGGTAGGGTGGCAGAGCTGCGATTGAGCAGGACCCACGCTGTTCCCCCATCCCAGCCCACAGGTGGGAGAGGAATGGACAAGGAAGGGGACAGGCACACATGAAATCTGCACCTGGCTCCAGAGACGTGCTCTGGGAGCATAAATCCATATTGCATTGGGTTCTGATTAGTGGGACTGGACACCAGGGACGGTTGGAACACTGGGAGGCTGAGACTCCAGCTGCTTATGGAGGACAAGCATACTCCACCAGTCCTGTGAGACACAAAGCAGAGGTAGCAGTTTGAAAGACTTGTCAGCAGTGGGAGGGGTATCAGGGGTGAAGGTTGAAAGGAGCTTCTCCACAGGAGAAAGAGCAGGTATAGATGATACCTCTACAGGCCTCCCTTGGCCCAACAAATTAGGCACTTTCAGGAGTTGTGATTTGCATAATATGGAGTACCAGAAGTAGAAGAGAGAGACAAAGGGATAGAAAGTTGAAATAATTTGTTGAAAACTTCCCTAGTGTGGGGAAGGAA